GTTTAAAAATTTCCGCCACCTTTTCATTGGTTTACAGAGATATTGTTCAACAAAGCTGTCCGAAAATTTCACTGAATTTTATCGGCAGCATAAAGGAAATTCAGAGAAATTTTTGGACAGCTTTGTTGAACAATTTCTCTGTAAAAAAATAAAATGGCGGTGGAAATTTTTAAACGTCGCATGGTACTTGCGATACTTTGGCCGGAAGGTGACGATATTTAGATTTATACATTTATTTTAATAATTTATTCATTTTTTTTATTTTTCTTATTTTTTTTAGTTCAATGTGTGCCTCAAGTTGCATCGATTTTTGCGGTTTAATTTGCGTCAGTGTTTCAGAGTCGCTTTTTTTCAACTTGCACCAATGTCCTAGCATAGCCTCTTGGAAGTCGGAACCTCTTATATACAAATGACATATCGACGATGAAACTACCATATACCACGTATCTCGTTTGCGATGTTTAAAAATCTCCGTTTCCATTTTATTTTCTTGAATGAGAACAAATCAATATCATACCTCATAGTTTTCACAGGGTTTCCCTCGTACATCGAGGGAATTTCTCGTAAGTTTTCAAGAATTGACGTCGAGCAGTTTTCCGTCTAAAAAATAACAGGGATAAGTATGATAGGAAGCCTGCAACGTTGTAAACCGAGATGCAGGATCTGGAAGTTTAACCGTCGATATAAATCAATTAATGTTTTGTGACCGCATCTATGAAAATGTACCTTATATCTTCCGGGAGAAAATTGTCCTTAGCGTGTTTCAAATGCATGGAGATAGAGAATCGGGAAATTTTGGCGCAAGTTGTGACCCTGCATGAAAGCTCAAAGATTGGAGGAGGTAACAGTCCTGGAAATCCGAAACCAAATTTTAAAGTCGGAGATAACGTGGTTTAAGATTTTGAAAAAAGGTAAGGAAAATTTCCTCCCGGAAGATAAGATCCCATTTCACAAATCCGGTCACGTAGTTGAAGAAATTTTTTTTTTTCGCACTTCAGAAGTTTCATCAATTTAAATGATGCATGAATAAGTAAATAAGAAATGAGAAGTAATCAAGACACCACTGATCTCCAAAGCGTCACGGAAATATGCATATGAAGTTCCGCTGGATGTCTCCTTGATTTTGACACAACGATTTCCATCAGGAATACCCTCGTCCCTCAGGAATTCACCAGGTTTTAATACGCCGTGATTTTCGATGCGCAATCTCCGTTCGCATTGGACGTAGAATTTTGGCGTTTGAACATATCTCATTACTTTTTCTTAATCTGTATAAACTTAAACCATCACAACACGATTCTGTGACTAGTGCAACTGACCTATTACCGCCCCTAAACCGCTTACCTGAACGGACCAATTTGCGTAGATACTGAGGGAAAAACAATCCTATGCATGAAAAATGGCAACACCGCGTCCAACCCTTAACACTGTGACTGGCAGATAAAGAGCATGTACGGCTAATACCGCCACACCGCGCCGCGCCGCTTCCTTCCTCCGTTGAAAAAACGCACTTCCGGTACAGTAGTGCAACCGGTGCGTCCCTCCTTGGCGCCACCACCCCCGCACTATGAGTCGAAGCTCCGGCATTAAGTGCATGAGGGTAGGCAAAATAAACCTCTGCATCTTTGGAACTGCATTTTGAAAATAGAAATTGCAACTCTCTGCTCATCCGTAAAACACTCACGTGAACACAGGGAAACTATATTCATACCACGTATTTAAACTGGGCCAGGAATTGTAGTTCGTAATTGCAAAATGTAGTCCGTTCCTTCGCTCCTCCAGCGTAAGGGCGTACCTCGATTTCCGCATGACCCCCAGAAAGCATACATTTACATGTAAAACAGGACTCACGTGGGAATTGAGATATGCCCCTACGCCCGAGGGGTGAGGATTTGCGCCGAGTTCAACAAAAACATACCAAGTCGCATCGTGGAAAAGAATATAGTTAAGAGTAGTAGAATCCCGGATAGCGCGTTCTGTCAAACGGAACTAAGCGTCATAGGAAAGCATTGCGAGTATAGGACGGAACGAGTATCACGTTCCGCAACACCCGCCAAGCCCCCCTCTCCCTTCCGATGGCGCTTAGTTCCGTTTGATAGAAATACGTCCATTTAGCAAATTTTGGAACAATTATTTCCGTTTTCTTTTCAAAAATCCTGATCTTCCACAAAGTTAGCTTTTTTGGCCTTTGAGCTGAAATTTGAAGGGACTTTGTACTGATTTATTGGAATTTGATCTGGGAACAAGGCATTTTAGTCATAATGGTCATTTTCGGACATTTTAAAGACATTTCACGGTCCATAATACTCTCTTTTGAATGGCTAATTCATCGATCCATTAGAAAGCGCATATAGCTACGAACATACAAAAATCTGCGTATAGCTTTTAAATAAATAGGAAAAATACAAAAAATATGTTTTCTTACCTACAAATGTTGACTGTGTTTTCCTCTAAATTTACAAGTGCTTTAAAAAAATGTCTAACTGTCATCGTCACTATCTGGGGTTTGAACAATAGGATCACATTTTGCTGCAAGGAACTACTATCTCTGGCTCTTCCATAAAAGCACCTTTCTATATGAGAAAACCAATGGCATAATTATATAAATTGGATTTTGCAAAAAGGAACCAAGAGCATTCCAGTGTTGCTAGGATTGTGCGACTTGCATTCATTGCATAAAATTACTGAAATCATGGAAAAAATTAAAATTATAAAGGTGATTTTCGTCTTGAAATCATAGTTTATCGGAAGTACTATTACGACTTGTTTAGATGATCAGTTTATATTTTCAAGGTAAAAAAAGTTGCCCAATCTTAGCAACATTGGAATGCTCTTGGTTCCCTTTGCATAATGCAATCCATATGTTGTTTCTAAAATGAGCCCANTCAGGAATACCCTCAGGAATTCACCAGGTTTTAATACGCCGTGATTTTCGATGCGCAATCTCCGTTCGCATTGGACGTAGAATTTTGGCGTTTGAACATATCTCATTACTTTTTCTTAATCTGTATAAACTTAAACCATCACAACACGATTCTGTGACTAGTGCAACTGACCTATTACTGCCCCTACACCGCTTACCCGAACGGACCAATTTGCGAAGATGCTGAGGGAAAAACAATCCTATGCATGAAAAATGGCAACACCGCGTCCAACCCTTAACACTGTGACTGGCAGATGAAGAGCATGTACGGCTAATACCGCCACACCGCGCCGCGCCGCTTCCTTCCTCCGTTGAAAAAACGCACTTCCGGTACAGTAGTGCAACCGGTGCGTCCCTCCTTGGCGCCACCACCCCCGCACTATGAGTCGAAGCTCCGGCATTAAGTGCACGAGGGTAGGCAAAATAAACCTCTGCATCTTTGGAACTGCATTTTGAAAATAGAAATTGCAACTCTCTGCTCATCCGTAAAACACTCACGTGAACACAGGGGACAGGGAAACTAATAATTCATACCTTGTATTTAAACTGGACCAGGAATTGTAGGTAGTTTTTAATTGCACAATTTAATCCGTTTCTACGCTCCTCTAGCGTAAGGGCGTACCTCGATTTCCGCATGAGCCCCATCAGAAAGCATGAATTTACATGCAAAACAGGACTTACATGGGAATTGAGATATGCCCCTACGCCCGAGGGGTGAGGATTTGCGCCGAGTTCAACAAAAACATACCAAGTCGCATCGTGGAAAAGAATATAGTTAAGAGTAGTTTTGATGCTAGTTTTACAATTAGGTGATTAGCCGATTGTTGGGACCGTCGATTGACAATCTCAGAAACCTATTAGTAATCGAATCGAATCAAAACTAACAGCTCGGTCGAACATAATTATTTTGAAACCGTGAATTTTCAAAATATCAACTTGTGTCCCGGGGTGCCTGCTAGGAAGGATTTCCAAGTGTAAAACAGCATTTTTGCTGAATTTGAGAATAAAAAATCATGCTCGCTAACATTTCTAATGGTAATGTGGACGTATTTCTGTTAAACTTAAGAAAGAGCCAAATTGAGTTCCTTTTAAGGTTTTTAGAATCCCGGATAGCGCGTTCTGTCAAACGGAACTAAGCGTCATAGGAAAGCATTGCGAGTATAGGACGGAACGAGTATCACGTTCCGCAACACCCGCCAAGCCCCCCTCTCCCTTCCGATGGCGCTTAGTTCCGTTTGTTAGAAATACGTCCATTTAGCAAATTTTGGCACAATTATTTCCGTTTTCTTTTCAAAAATCCTGATCTTCCACAAAGTTAGCTTTTTTGGCCTTTGAGCTGAAATTTGAAGGGACTTTGTACTGATTTATTGGAATTTGATCTGGGAACAAGGCATTTTAGTCATAATGGTCATTTTCGGACAGTTTAAAGACATTTCACGGTCCATAATACTCTCTTTTGAATGGCTAATTCATCGATCCATTAGAAAGCGCATAGCTACGAACATACAAAAATCTGCGTATAGCTTTTAAATAAATAGGGAAAATACAAAAAATATGTTTTCTTACCTACAAATGTTAACGGTGTTTTCCTCTAAATTCACAAGTGGTTTAAAAAAATGTCTAACTGTCATCGTCACTATCTGAGGTTTGAACAATAGGATCACATTTTGCTGCAAGGAAAATACTAACTCTGGCTCGTCCGTAAAAGCACCTTTCTACACGAGGAAACCAATGACATTTATGGGTTGGATTTTGCAAAATGGAACCAAGAGCATTCCAGTATTGCTAGGATTGTGCGACTTAGATTCATTGCATAAAATTACTGAAATCATGGAAAAAATTAAAATTATAAAGGTGATTTTCGTCTTGAAATCATAGTTTATCGGAAGTACTGTTACGACTTGTTTAGATGATCAGTTTATATTTTCAAGGTAAAAAAAGTTGCCCAATCTCAGCAACATTGGAATGCTCTTGGTTCCCTTTGCATAATGCAATCCATATGTTGTTTCTAAAATGAGCCCAAAATAGTGGTTCCTTTTTCCAAAACGTGATCCAATACATGATAATCAAAACGTACCTTTCTCATTGCGAGAGGACTTCGAGGAGAAAATTCCACTGTTGGGCGGTGTCCGTCTTTCGGGAGGGCTATCGATGGGTGCTGAGACTGTGACGGGATGTTGATGCGAGAAGTCGGAAGAATAATTTTCAAACGTCTTCTTGCAGCTACTTGAGAGGATATCCACCATTGACTCGTGGTACGGCACCCGCTGTTTCAAATTCCCATTCGTCTCGTCCCCCAATTTATTAAGCTCCCCGTGCATAAGTTTGTTGTTCGGCAGTACCCGGAACGGGTGCATCGTGTCCAGACAAATTCAACTTTTTTTCATTTAAAGATTTCCGGAATTTTTAAATGCGTCATTTTAGTCTAACTCTCACCTATAAGCACAGCTAGATATAAATTTGATTTTCGACTGCAGGATTTTTATTTATGTTGTTGAGAACTGCGATTAAATAAAATTTCTCCGCAGTTTTGAAAATTGATTGTTGGACTCGAGATGATTCTCTTGAAAATTCAGAGTGATTGTTTAATTAAGACTGCGTGTTTTAGTAATTTAAGCAGAGAAATAATCCATTTTCGTTGTGTTGATGAAGGTGTCTGCCCAGTTTCCAAGACTGCACAGTACGATTTGGTGTCATTCCAAAAAATGTCCTGTTGGAAAAAAAACAAAATAAAGTCTAAATTTTTAAAATTCTAATTTAGGTGGTCGTCAAATACCGTCCGCGTTCCGGGTTCAGAGACCGAAAGTTCCGGGCGTAACACACGGAGCAATCTAAGCTACGGCTGCAGTACCCGTAAGTTTCGGCATCTGAGCCCGGAACGGGCGGAATGGCTCTATAGCTCGTAACTTTTGTTCCATGTATTAATTACGTTCCTAAGTTACAAATCTAAAGAAGCCCCTTGACAGTTTTAATTTACACACCTAAGAAAATTTAAAAAAAAAGATATCTTTACACGTTGTAGCGTTTTTCATAGACGACTCTGCGGAATGAGGAATGAAGTACTTACACCTTTTTCTAAATTTTAGAATTTTTGAGATATGTTGAGTATGACATCCTTTAAGACATTTTGTAACCATCTTGAAAGGAGCTAAACATCGGAGGGACGTCTTGCTTCTCATATTACAGCCAGAAGTTCATAAACATTCAACTCAAACTCGACGTTGCATATTTTTAAACATAATATGGAGAGAGAATGAAGCGATCCTATTGGTTTAAGCGGGTGATTGCAATTAACGAAGGAGTGCAGTAATAGTCTGACTAACGTCAACTCACCAGCGGGTCGATTGTTGAATCGTTATCGAATGACCTTGATCGATAAAAAGCATTGCTAAGATAGGGATTTATCGATCGAGTTCAATCGATAACGATTCAACAATCGACCCGCAGGGCGCCTATTGTTAGTCCAACATTTCCTCCCGTGCTCTATACTGTCGTGCTGAGGGAAAACGTCTTATAAACATTCAGATGTTGCCAAATTTACTCTTAGAAAATACTCATATTGGAGGAAAGTTATTAATATTTTTCGTTGAAATTCTTAGAGACTTTAGATCAAATTACGAATAACTTTCTCTGAAAATTCTGAAAAAAAAAAATACTTACAAGTTTGCACAAAAATTCTTGATTTGTCCTAAGAAGTATGGCAACGTCTGGAGGTTAATACGGCGTTTTACCTTAGCACGGTAGTATACCAACCACTCGTTTCAACCAATATGATCGCACTATTTTCCCTTTGTCATTGTTCTGCCCATCAATTTCGGTAATCAGACTGCAGTGTCTCCTATAACTTCATAATCCCTAACCAACATAGAAGGGAAATATTTTTTTTTTCACTGAGGAATTTTGAATTAGGGTCCCAGAGCCTTCGTGGGCTTCTAATCGACTGATCTCATTTCTCCTTTTTGGGGGCAAGAAATTCCAATTTAATATTTTTTTGTTGAGACTCTCTATTTTCAAAAATTTTATACATGATCATTTCTCTGCTGTCGAAAAGTGAAAAATAGTGGAAATGGCAGNAGCTGTACAGCGCTTAGACGCCAGCCCTCAACTACTCCCCACTAAACGGCCAGTAGTGCTCAACACTAGTCTTGTTTTTTCCGTGTATTTTTAAACATAATATGGAGAGAAAATGAAGCGATCCTATTGGTTTAAGCGGGTGATTGCAATTAACGAAGGAGTGCAGTAATAGTCTGACTAACGTCAACTCACCAGGGCGCCTATTGTTAGTCCAACATTTCCTCCCGTGGTCTATACTGTCGTGCTGAGGAAAACCGTCTTATAAACATTCAGATGTTGCCAAATTTACTCTTAGAAAATACTCATATTGGAGGAAAGGTATTAATATTTTTCGTTGAAATTCTTAGAGACTTTAGATCAAATTACGAATAACTTTCTCTGAAAATTCTGAAAAAAAAAAATACTTACAAGTTTGCTCAAAAATTCTTGGTTTGTCCTAAGAAGTATGGCAACGTCTGGAGGTTAATACGGCGTTTTACCTTAGCACGGTAGTATACCAACCACTCGTTTCAACCAATATGATCGCACTATTTTCCCTTTGTCATTGTTCTGCCCATCAATTTCGGTAATCAGACTGCAGTGTCTCCTATAACTTCATAATCCCTAACCAACATAGAAGGGAAATATTTTTTTTTTCACTGAGGAATTTTGAATTAGGGTCCCAGAGCCTTCGTGGGCTTCTAATCGACTGATCTCATTTCTCCTTTTTGGGGGCAAGAAATTCCAATTTAATATTTTTTTGTTGAGACTCTCTATTTTCAAAAATTTTATACATGATCATTTCTCTGCTGTCGAAAAGTGAAAAATAGTGGAAATGGCAGTAGTAGTGATGATGCAATTTTATTCAAAGGTACCCAAACATCAAAAGGACAGTATCCCCATGTCTTCTTTTAAAGTTTTTCCTGCTCAGTATGAGTCTGTTTGAGTCCTCCACAGAACACTAGCTTTCATAAGCTATCGCCAGTTATGTTTTAAGCATATAAAAAAATCATGAATTTTATATGAACGCCACTAACTGATGAAGTCAACTGTCCAATTTCTTCTCTCATAATATTTAAACAGATTGGGAGTAATCGGCTCTTATCAAAATTGAATTTAGAAAGAACACTGTGAAATTTTTTAGAAATGTCTAGGTGTATGATTGAGAACTCAAGTTATCATCCAATTTCGCAGTTTTTCATTCTTATTTGTTAATCTTAGTTTTTATTCATTCATTTATTCAATTTTTCATCTTTTTTATTGATACATGTTTATTCAATTATTTTTATGATGTCCTTTTTTTATCTTTTTTGGCCGAGGCATTTTTTAAATTGAATATTCCAGTTGTTGCATAGTTTTGGCGAGATTTTGTTTTATTAATTTTTTTAAATAAATTTCAAACAAATCATAAAAAACCCCGCTTTAATAACTGCAGCAACTAGAGTCGTTGAAAAAAGCGCATCAAAATGTATCCACAAAATCCTAGAAAAGCGCAACATAATACTACACTTCAGAGCGACGTCCATCAAAAGTCCCTTATGCCAGATGCATTATTCAAAAAGTTTTTAAAATACACTTTCGAGACATATTTCATAAGAAAAATTGATTTTTTGAAAAAAGAAAAAAAATACATAATTTTTGGTATCACGATTCAACGGGTCATATCTTTCCTTCAGAGTATTCAGCTTGGTTGCGACTAGAAATTCTTATACAGGGGCCGAAAATGCAGGTATACACACCTTACTTAATAGGTGCCACCTTACGTAATTGATATTATTCTTACCCAATTCAAGATGGTGCCACCAAAATATAGTTATGTTAAAATGGTTCACCAAATAAACCGTTCATGCCAATTTTCTTGTCTCTTTTTGGTGGAAAAGAAAATAATAAGAAAACAATTAAGCAAGCGTGGAACCTTAGAGCAACATCGAGGGTTCTTTTGTAACGATGTATAGTGCTCACTGTATTACCTTTGCAAAATTGTTTAGATTTGGCAACTTAGTAAAAGCTTTTTGGCAGACCCAACTAAGATATAATCATCTATAGTATCTTAACAGAAAAATGATGAAAACTGATTATCGGAGGAGGTTTAGGGTGAAACATACCGAAGGGGCTTTCAAAATGTTTAACTGAAAATTATGTTGAAAGTCGCATACAATTTTACCAGCATCAGAGGGTTGATAGTGCTTATTGCGAGTATTTCCTCAAGGGAGAATTTGCAGGCGTCTGAAATTTCATGAATTTCATGTTCAAGATGAACTGAGCACGAGGATTTCCTTGGTTACACAATTAACAACAACACAACAACGATTAAACAATTATTGGAGGTGATATGACGAAACGAACTAATCTGCCAAAAAAAGTGTTTTTGAGTGAGAATTCCATCAGATGATGACATTGATGACGTCACAAGGAAGTAAATATTCCATTTTGAAATACGCTTTTCTACGATTTCTAAAATCAGCCAAAAATTTAAAATAATACTGGGAATTCAGCTTAATAAACACTCTCAAAAGAAGACTACAATTTTTTGCAAATTCTTCACTAATAGAAAAAGCAACCGTTATATTCCGAGTGACAAATTTTATTCACCTCAACATGAGCTCAGTCCAATTTAGTAAATGAAAATCTCGCACTTTTTCTGCAATTTCCCAAATCAGCCAAAAATTAAAAGTAATACTTGGAACTCAGCTTAATAAGCACTCTCAAATGGAGAAGACAATTTTTTCATGCAAATTCTCCACCAATAGAAAAAGCAACCGTAAAATTTTACTTACTAACTTTACTCTTCTCAACGTGAGCTCAATCCATTCATTAAATAAAGATCTCGCACTTTTCCTACGATTTTCCAAAATCAGCCAAAATTTAAAAATAATACTGGGAACTCAGCTTAATAAGCACTCTCAAATGAATAATACAATTTTTTCGTGCAAATCCTTCACTAATAGAAGAAGCAACCGTGAAATTCCGAGTGACAAATTTTACTCACCTCAACGTGAACTTAGTCCATCTATTAAGAAAAAAAAAACTTGCACTTCATAAAGTTTCCAAGGCGTTTTTCCACGCGGACAAATCCCCAAAAAAGCAACTGGACCGCACGAGGGAACCAATGGAATACGGCGTGGCGCACAACCCGTTGACCGAAAGCGACGCGAAACGGGGAACAAGGAAGGACTAAGTGAAATGATACGGAGCGGCACTGAGCTTAATCATGGGGAACAGGGCAGTCGAGTTTACGGAGCGGAGGGATGGAACGGAGCCGTGCCGTAATAAAGAGCGGTAATAGCGGAGGAAGGAAAAAATTAAAGGGGGAGAGGGAAAGAAAAATAAAAGGACTCGCAGCCCCCGAGCCAGAGCAAGCCGCACCGGCATAATATCGTATTATTGTCTGGCTCTAAGC